AGTGTTTGAACCTCGGCCATTTAAATCAAAAAGCAAAAGATAATGCTGCTTACGCTAAACTTTTATTTTTTGTTTAAATTGTGATCATCCTCAAGGTGTGCTTTTTGCCCTGTTCCATTGCTGAAGAGAAATGGGTGATGATTATTATTTCTTCTATAGGCTAAAGGGACCCAGGGATATTCCAGACACCCGAACCTACAGGTAGGATCACCAAACCACCACGATGCAGCGGCACTGCACACATCAAACCAGGACTGCCTGCTCCAGAGGTGGATTTTAGGCTTCCTGAGGTTATAGCACTCAGTACAGGGAAATGATGAGCTCAGGGCAGGGATGTCTCAATTTGCAAAGGCCTGTCCTACACGGTGCAGGGAGCAGCTCCACAGGACCAGCCTGACAAAGCTGCTCCAACCCCACACCGAGGAGACATCTCCTAGAAGCACACCGCCTCTGTGTCTAGCCAATTAGTTGGAGATGGAATAAAATCAGTGCTGGAGGAGGTCTAACGGGTATTTGTGAGCCCTCTGGATAGGCCCTTATGTGCCTCCCCCAGGCTGTTCCCAGCACCTGACCTCAGGCAGCTCCTCCAGGGCGAGCTGCAAGTGAGCCAAGCCGCTCAGGATTTCAGCGTGGCTTTAAAAGCCGATGCTCTTTCCAAAATATCTCAGCAGATCTATAATAAACAATAGCTACTTTCGAAAGCCACTCGGCATTCTTCTTCAAATAACCCCTCTTCCTCTCGAAGCGTCTTGTTTCCCTTGGGGTTGTCATAGAGAGGAAGGTATCGATGAGCTCGTCTTGTGTCAGGGAGCAGAGACAAGAAAGAAGCATTGAAGTGAAGCCATTTACTCTCTTCTTGAAAGCTTGCAGTTTTGACCTGTTTCTCCAGCGTGTAGCTACAGCATCTCTGTTCCTTCGTGTCAATTTGGACACTGGGAAGAGCGCCCTGCAGCAGAGGCAGTGCAGACACGGTTAACGCTGCAATGCCTCGGACCGGAGAAGCATCCGTCATGTTCAATGCAGCCTGTGAAAGCAGACACCCCGTAGCAGGGAAGTCAATAGGTTGTTTGGTGATACTGAGCTTCTAGAAGGCAAAGCCTCGCTTTCACCTCTGTAAAGAAAAGGAAGGTCTTGGCTAGCAGTGCATTAGATCTTAAGAATGTCCCATCAAAACGCAGACTGCTATAAAGGTTGTTACCTTGTAAGAGAAACGTCTTACTGAAATCAGCAAGGTCTTTGCTCTCTCCCTTATAAGAGAAAGGTAAAGAATGAAAGCAGCCAGCAGTTCTGAGGCTGTTTTCACCAGAAATAACCCAAAGCTTTTTTTTTTTTTTTTTTCTTCCCCCTTCCTGGTGCATTCCAGCTTTGCTTGCACTTAACTTGAAAACTGAAAAAGAAGAGATAAAAGGTGAACGATGCCAGGCCAGGCCATCAGTGACTTTTAACCATCAAAAAGCTTCTTTAGCAGCAGCAGCAGCCCAAGTCAGCATTTATAACGTGGATCAAGAGCTGCCTACAAGCTCCAGTTCTTCTGGTACAAATATTTTGGAGACTTTCCTCTGGACTTTTTCCTGCCCTTGCTGGAACACGCGGCTGTGTTCCCGACCCACACAACACCTTTATCCTATTTAGGCACCTCTAACAGCTACCCCATTCACATTGGAACAGTTTTCATTGTAGCAATACATTAACTAAACATATTAATTAACTGATGTACTCTTATCTTCTCAAGTTTCCACCACCATATGGCCTGCTGTACTCTAATCATACTTGAAATTTCTGTTTTCTTCTTCCCTAGCTACCAAACGTTATTGTGTGCCCATTTGCAGCTTTGCTTAAGGATGCATCTGCAAAAACAAATAAGCATGCATTTTGCAGGCATCTCCACCCTTCTCTGAATGCAACCATCAAAAGGCTGACTTATTTCTAAAGCCTCACCCAAGCGATGAGAACATTCAAATACAGCTATGGCAACGCATGGCCAGGTAGCTAATTCTGGTGATGACAACCACGGAGCAGGGAAAGGAGGGAGAAAAATGAAGAACCAGCTCAAATAACATTTGCTGAAAAGACAAACCTAAATGTTGTTAACCTGATTCTTCTCAGCCATCACATTTCTGGCTCAATGAGATTCAGAGCCTGAAAGGTAACAACAAATCCTTTCTGCTAACAAGCCCATAAACTACTGGCACTCAGAAAAAACTTGGCACACCAGGCTTTGTGGTCTGCAGCGAAAACAGATCAGATGTGATGCCCTGCAAGCCTCAAAAAAATCCCCTCGAGCCTCACTCAGCTACAAAGTGCCTTGGTGTGATGATCAAGCTTTGGTTTGCAGCCCAGCACCCTGCTCTGCACCGCTGTGCGCGTTTGTGGATTCGACAGCACGTGCACAAAGTCAGAGAGATCACAGACCTTTTTGTTCACATGTCACTTCCACAAAGGCTGGGTTGTGTTCTGACTTGTGGCTTCATCAAGAAATCGAGGTGTCTTTCAAGCTGCTCTGCTCCTTTCCAAAGGCGTTTAGAAGCTGTGTGGGTGTTAGTACTGGATGAGCATCGATTTCAGTGGGGAATTAGTACATGCTCAGAATGGAGAAAATACACTGTATAGACCCAAAGTTTGCAGGAAAAGGTACCCAGGATTTCATGGAAACACATTTCTTCTATTTAATCGAAGTGGAAGGATGACAGGAGAGAAAATTTCAATCCCAGAGGCCACCCCTACGAGTGAAAGGCTGGATGAGGCTCTACTTCATTTTCCTGTTCAGCCAGTGGCTGAATTTGCTGAATTTGCCCAATTTCTGCACTGCAGTCATTTGCTGGATGGAGGCAGCCCCAGGCCCCTGCTCATTTTGCACAGGCCATCCTGCAGCCTTCAGGGGCACCCTCAGCCCTCACTGCCACTTTGAGTCCATTTGAGATAAAGATAATAAATCTGTGCCCCCTTTCCCACCTCTCAGTAGAAGTTTCCCCAACGTGCTGGATAATGAGCCCATTTTTATTCTTTCTGGCCATCTCCTAAAGGTGAAAATGGGACCTCCGCTGAGCACCATCGCCAAAGGCTCAAGGCTTTTAATAAAAAGCCTGAAATTCCTTCTCTTTAAGGCCAGAAGGTGACTAATGGGCTATGTAGCCTGCGAGGTGGAGGAGCGGCTCTGCTGAAGAGCCTGGTGGCAGCCAGCAAGCCCCATGGACCTCAGGCAGGAACAGATCCCTTAATGGCCCTTTGTCCTCTGCAAGCTTTTTATACTTCTGTCACCTTTTCCCTGCCTTCAAGGGCAGTGGAAATACCAGATTTCTTTGTCCGCCCGTTTCCTCCAAGGATTTGCACCCTTAAAATAAAAATCCTCCTACTGGGGCCTCTGCCCTCTGCAGAGCAGGCTGAAGCAATGCAGCCCATGCTGTGTTCCTCCCACTCATGCAGCCAGGCAGCAGGACCCGAGCAAGCTCTGCCCCAAGCTCAGAGCTGTGAGCCTGGCTCAAGCATCCTGCCAGCAGCTCCTTTCCAGCCCCTGCCCAGAGCACAAAGCAAATTTGCAGGAAGAGCAAACTCAAAGCCAATTTCAAGTGAACACTGGCCTCAGACTGACAGGAAAATGCACCATTTGCTTTGATTTTTCCATACGTTAGCTCTTCTCTCAAAGCCTGGATCAATAGAGAGGGAAAACTGAGCGCTGGGTAACCCTTTACTTGTGTAGGAATGGGATTTATCCTCATGCTGCCTGGCAAGGACTGCGGGGTGGCTGCGTGCTCCTGCACTTCCCTCGCAGCAGCCGCGGCTGCTCTCCTTTCCCAGTTAAGCACCAGGCTCACAATGCTCTAGAAATCGGCACCAGCGGGGTCTGGAGAGGCAAGGAGCTGCCCGTGGAAAGTTCCAGAAGGTCTGCACGCACGGGTATTTTGAACAAAATATTGGATTTTGAGATTTCCACAGAAGCGTGATCTTAAGCAGAAGAGGTTGCTCGAAGGCCATCACCACGTTTCATTTCGCTAAGAGCCCAAACATTTTATTATACATGCTGATGGCATTCAAGCCACCACCGCCCGAAGAAAACTTGACGTGATCCAATTCCAACAAGACCCTTTGAGCTCATCAAAAGATCTTTTAAATGAAACACCACTGAAATGGGGATCCTCCCATCGTATCCCCCAGCGAGGCATGGCTGCAACACAGCTCGCAGGTAACAGCATCGCTCGGGAGTGCGCCAAGCCCTCCTCCCACACGCTGTGTGCCCACGTCACCGAGCTCAATGTGCATGGCTCACTGGGAGCTGCATGATAAAAGCCATCCTTTGCCATACAGAAAGCAGTAAACCCGTTGGGAGCAGGGAACAGGGAGGAATTTGGCTCTGTTATGGGAGAAGTGATGGCCAAAATGCAGCCCTAACAAAACCGCAGGTACCATGGCAGCACTGCACAGGTCCCTGGGGATCTGCAAAACGCACGTGTGCCTTTGTCTCAGGAACGTGATTCAGCACAGGGCTGCTGGGAACACGCCTGCTGCTTAAAAGCAAGGTTTCAAAGAGAAACCTTCGTGCTCCCACCCTGCTGCAAGGAGCTGCCTGATCCGGTCCAGGGCTGCTCGGGGTCCCTGCGGCAGCAAAGCCAGGCAGGACACACTGCAGGAGGCACACTGCAGGCAGCGCTGTGAGACAGGCAGCTCCCACTTGGCAAAGACAAGCCCGTGCTCCTGCCTGGCCAGTGTCTGTCACAGGAGGAGTAAAAGACAGAGACAAGGGGCAAATAACTAACTTAGCACTGCCACGAACAACACGGGATATGTTGGTCATCTCTGGCTGAGCAGGACTCTACAAAGTTGTTGGTACAAAGGCTCACATCTCAAGCTATATACATAAATATAAATATATATTTTATTTTTTTTTCCTTCCAAAAAGGAAGTCCCTCCACCACTGCTATTGACCAAGCATAGGCTCAGAAACCCAAGCCAGGCTGCCAGGATTGTGCCCTCCCCAGGGCCAGCACCACATCCCTGAGACTTACCCAAGGTCCAGGGACAGCAAGGAGGAGAAGCAGCAGAAAGGGCTAAAGGAGGCAGAGAAACCTCCTTGTGCTGTTGATGTGACCCATCTGCGAGTCCTTTCTAATTAGAATGGGGCTCGCAGCACAGCCGCACATGGCTCTGCTGCTAATTAGGGAGGGCTGAGCACCGACACATTAACCTCCCGGTCTCGAAACATTAACTTTACCAGGTGTAATATCTTCTAGGTGACATAAAGGTTAATAATCTGCATCCAAAACAGAACCCAGCTCAGTAAATACCCAATTAACTGGGTTCTGGCAGGGGTGGCAGCAAAATGCTGTGGGGACAGCCAGAGTGTGCAGCAGTGATGCCTTCGGAGGGGGTCTGTGTAGGCCCCACCGCCAGCAGTACCAAGGGAAAGCAACAAAATAAGATAAATAAATGATTTTATTTTATTTATTTATTTATTCTTTTTGTTGAGGGTGTTTAACGAAATGTATTTCCTTCTTCCCTCACCCCCTCCTTCAGAAATTGCTCCCCAAAGCTTCTGCCATACGAAGGGGAACTCAAAGCGGTTGCACTCCAGTTGCGTGCAGTAAAACGGCAGGTTTGGCTGACTTTTAATCATTTTGTATTTTGCCTTCCAGAAGAGGGATTGGGAACAGGGAAGGATAAAGAGTGAAATAAACCTGCAACAAGTGAATATTCATCTCAGTGTGAATGTAGATGCCTCATTTGGGATCATTTTGTAGAAACGAAGGAGAAAATAATTTTCTATTCTTACAAGAGCTGAAACATTTAAAAATAATGGGCCAAATAAGTTTTAGTCTGACCACAGCAGCAGACAAACCAGGTAGAAATGACACCCACACATTCTCACTGTGCTGCCCTGACCCTGGGGCCCTGGGTGTGCTGATGGAGATGAAGGCAGAAAACCTCTCCAGCTCTCCAAGCAAAACCAGCTGCAGGCTCTCAGGGTGCTTCGCAGGGCTCAGCCACTTCACTGAGCTCTTGTTATTTTAACTAAAAGCACTTTTTTTTTTTTTTTCCCCCCTACACAGCTGAACTGACACAACGAGTGTCAAACAAGAAGACATCCAGCATTCTTCCAAATTGCTCGACTCACATTCCCTCTGAGCTCCTCCTCGCCTTACCATCTTCCTGGGTTCGAGTTCTCCCATTCAGCAACCACTTAGGAAGCCCTGGTTCTCCCTCTCCTTTTCTACAATCACTAATCAAACTTCAGCTGAGGATCCACCTTTCCAAGGATCTGCCCTGTGCTCTCTGCCACAACCACTTCTTCCCCAGGTGCTCTCTTCTGCAGGCACTGTGCATGCACAGGGAAATGTCCAGCCCCACTGCCGTTCCTAACAAATTGCACCTCGACATCAAACCTCCAACCCAAACTCTCCACTCTGCTTTTACTGAAACAAACCCTTCTGGGAGAGACAGAGCACCAGCCCGGCCAGCCGAGCTGTAAAGAAAGGGAATACCGAAAGAGATCATCCAGTGAGACAGGAGAAGAATGAAAATAGTGTTTTTAATATCATTTACAGCAAACTTACAGTATGTTATTTCACATCACATATTTCTAAACTGCTCATCTGGAAAATATAAGCTGCAAAAATACAGAATGCAGTACTCAAAATATATCGAGCATGTGGTTTCTCTCTCTCTCTTTTTTTTTTTTTTTTTTTAAATCAATTGCACAGCGAAATATTTCCTTTTCCAAACCAAGTTTTGGTTTATTTTGGAAGTGCTGCTAAAAGCATCTGCAAAATGCCCAGCAGTAAAACCAGCACGCTTCAAAGACTTTCCCTTGGGCACCGTAGGAAGGGGCTGACCCGCAGCCTGAAGCAGGGGCAGGTCCCGTGCTGCAGACCTCGATGGAGCTGCCCCACGCAGCAGGGACCTCCTTTGGGTGTACGGCCTCCCAAAAATGCTGCTCTGCCCAGCTGGTGGAAGAACAGCAAGGATATGTGGGTCCCACAGCACTGACTGGCCTGGCACAGAGGCGGGGAGGTGCTCAGCCGATATCGTGGGCCCTGGGGGTGAGTTTTAAGCCCCAGGTGTGACAAATGGTGAGTGATGGTCTTATCCTTCAACAAGATGACCAATGTGGAAGCATCCTCCATGGGCTGATGGTGGACTGCATCTCTGCACCAGCCACAAAGACTTGCCAGAGAAGTCCTCAGCTTCTGGAGGAAACGCTCCCCAAAACCCAGCTATGAGGCATCAGGACTTGGAGGGCAGGCAGCAGAAACACGTGGGTGTGTTGTTCTCCGTTACTGCACCATGGAGAAATGTGAGGATGGAGAAGGGAGTGGGTTAAAGAAGAGATTAAGTTCCCAATATTCTTATCAGCCAAAAAAAAAAAAAAAAAAAAAAGGGAAAAAAAAAGGCCCTCAGTGTTTGCCAGAGCCACAGAGGGGCCAGCTGGTTGAGTTAACAGGATAACTTCTTCCCCAATCTGCTTTGAATTTTAAGCTCTCGAGTTTGCTCAGCTGTAGCTGCTGCTGAGGGATCTCAAGGGTGGAGAATAACTGGGTTACACAGGCAGGGCATATGCTCCCGATCAGCCTCTGCATCAGGAAAACGAGCCAGGAGAAATCAGAAGCACGGCGAGGTGGCTGGGCAGTGCTGCTGCTTCTGCCCACCGACCACCCCGAGTAAAGAGCCTCCTGTACACTGAGGCTGCCCCACTCCCTCTGCTCTGCCTTTCACATGGTGCTTGCTTCTTATCTACAGAGGGCAAGAGGAATTTTAAAATGTCCTTGTTGCAAACATTTCCCATCTAATGCTGTTTACGTGCTTCTAGCTCACACGACCCCAAACGTCCCCATGCCTGGAATGTGATATAAGAACATACAGCAGGGAAAAAAAAACAAAACAAAACATTTTTTTTGCAGACTGCATTTGACTTGTATCAAAATCCTAACAAACACCACGTTTATTGTACTTTATTTACACGGTCGTCACGTATACTATAATACAGCACAGCGGTCCGTTTGCAGCGGTAGGCACTATGGGTTTTAGAAGGTCACAGCTCTTCCCCTGCTCCCATCCCACCCTCCTCCCCATGGACTTGTACCCAAGAGCACCGAGAGCTGCCTTTTTGCCTTTTGCTCGTGATGCTGTGTGGTCCCAGCGCTCTGCAATATTCCCACCGAGCCCTGCTCTGAGATGGCTCCTTCCCAAACAAGCAGGACGGGAGCTGCTCTCGGTGCTAACACGGAGTCTCCCAAACTCCGGGGGTCAGAGACCACCAGCAAACCCTCACAGTTGCCAGTGACAGTAATGTACACCTGCACGATGAGGCGTTTAACTGAAAGCATCAAGAAGGCAATAACATGCAGTAGGACAGGGCCCAGCCTGTGCTCAGCAGAGCCCGGTTTTGATCCCACTGCACTAAGGACTTCAGGAAAATATCTGTGATCCTACAAGGGGGATCACAACCCTCTGGGCTCACTGGAAGCATCCCGGGCAGAGAACAGGGCTCATTTCTTTTCTTCATTTTGGGTTCACACTGTTGTGAGGCACCAAAAACACAGCACTTGGATGCAGCTTGCACTGAAGGGTAAAAGCGCTGGTATTTGTGCGATGCCATACTGCAAAACAAATGGGTTTTGGAGGACTAAAATATACCAGTGGAGGGGAAAGATGCCTTTCGCTGTCCTGCTGACTGCCTTTTCAGTTGGGAAGAACCAAGCTAAGTCGGGCCATATGCGACTTGTCGATTCCCGAGAGATTTTTGCTTCAGGTCTAAGAGCTCTGCAAACACTGCAAATAAAATTCCCACCACCTGCTTCACCTTAATACCAATTTGTTTTTGTCTGGGTTCATACCCTTCTCGTGTTTGCTCTCTGTAATTACTCAAATGAATGCATTAACTGGTAGGAACACTGCGAGAGGCAGAGAATTTCAAGCATCTGTGAGAGAATATTCCTGGAAAGTGAACCGGGAGCTGAAAGCCAGCACTTTGGCTGTCCCAGAGCTGTGCATGTCCAGCGGCGCTCTGCCCACTGGCATTGAGCAAGGCTCCTCTTACTCAATTTCTAATCACATCCTTCTGAACTAAACATTTGCACTGATGAGAAAATTCCAGTCTCGGGAAGTGGGGATCAGAAACGTCCCCAGTGGCTGCGGTGTCCAGACAGAACAAACCAACTTGCATGAATTATAAGGAAGCTTTTTCAGCCCCTCTCCCGACCGCAGATTATATGCAGAAATGACCTTGCAAATACACTGGAGGCCTTTTCTTGTTTTTCTCAGCAATTCGCAAGGAGGAAATAAAAGGGAAAATTCATTTATGAAGTCGCTATAAATTATTTGCTGAGTTGGGCTTGACAAGTTTCTTATTGCTTTTTGCCATGTGCAGACACCAACATCATGTAGAACAAGCCCAGCACTAGAAACTGTCAGGGTATTGCTAATCTTTTCCTTTCTAGGCTGTTATACTCTTCTCTGCTGCAGTTAATCGGAAGAATTTGGGGAAAACACCACAAGCTCATAGCATCCCTAAGCCCACAGCCCTGTAGTGCCCTCGTTCCCTTCCTCCTTGGATCAACCTCAGCACAAAGCGAAGCCTGACTCGTGCCAAAGGCTCCCTTCATGTGGCTGCCAAACTTAATTAAAGGCTGCTCCTACAACTGATGGTGTCTTGGCTGCCTGTGGTGTGTGAGGCTGTGGGGACTGGAGGGCATCACGTTGGGAGGAAAGGAGATTTTCTGGAGGCTCCTGAGCTGCTGACACAAAGCAGGAGAGTCACAGCAGCAACACGGGATTTTGGGAGAGGTGATCTCTGGCTTAGGTAGGAAAAGAAAAAGCTCCTAATGGAAGCGGGAACAAGTCAGTATTATTGCTTATACCCAGGGTGCTCAGCCCAGTGCATGGAAAGCCTCTGAATTTGGCAGGAATTAATCAGATCTGGAGAGAAAGCAACAGCAAACCTGCTTCTGCCTGCAAAAGTTCACATACGTGGGGGATAGACGAGCGTGGCTGTGTCTAAACGCAGAGTGGAAATAAGCCTGGAAGCCCCTGCGAACAAAGCTGTTATCACATCAGTCCAGCGAAACATTTGCATATGTCTTTCATACTGACAATTCCCCGTGTCACCTGCCAAGAATAAAACAAACATCACAGCAAGACTGTCCAAGCCTTAAGAAAACACAGGCCAACACAACCGGCTGTGAAAAAATTCACTTGACAGCAACGGCCGTGGCCGACTCTGGGGCTAAAGCTTCATGGTGCCGGCAGCCTCGGGGGTGTCTTGGGTTTGCTCCGGGGAGAAGCTGCTGGTTACTGGCTGCAGTTGCCTTTCTGTCTCTTTTTCACTCTAAGAAAATGTGTCGGAGTGACACACAAAGGTAAGCCCCCAGTACGTTGCTTCCAACAGTTCTGATGAACAGAAGCCAGCCAAGGATGCTACTTTGAACCCTGATGGGGATTGGAGGGACTGGCAGTCTCAATCATTCCCTTTATTATTTCTTTTGAGAAAAAAAAGAAAAAAAAGCTACGTGTCTTAGCCATTTGGAAACACTCCAATCACTTTCCAAATGTCTGCAGCCTGCCAGTTCAATTCTGAAGCAGCTAATTCCTTTCTGCATCTTTCCCTTTTCACCTTCCCAGCAAGGTGAGACCCAGCTGAGATTAAAAATAGGGGCTCTGAGTAGCTCAGAGCATCTCCCAGGGGCATGGCAGCGTGAGGCCCTCCTGAGTTCCTTGCAAACCCTTCAAATTCTAAGGAATGGGGGTTTGGTCTAGATAATTCGAGTGATGGCCTTTTCATTCCCATTGCACATCCAATATGTGCTGGGCAAAGACAGAAAAACTATATGATTTCAACACGTATTAAAAAAGAAGGTTCTGAAAATGCATCTTCTTGTTGAAAAAGGAAACAACCCAAACAACAAAAAAACACCAATGGCACAGATTCTAGTGTCATCTGCTCCAATTTTAGATTGGGATTCCCTTCCAGGGACAGACATTTTCCTATCTCCATCTTTGTTCTCAGGTGTCCCGCACATTAAGGCAGTTGCGGATGGAAGTGGAGTGCTTGCAGGCTAAGGCGCGCACCGCGTTTTGGGAAGGAGGAGGATGTCTGAGACTCTCCACTTGTTATTCTAAAACAAAAATGGGGTTGCAGGCAAAACTGATTTGTGGTTTTGAAATCAGAAAAGCAAAGAGGTTGCTGGGATGGATGAGGGCTCTGGTCTGCACATTTTCTTTAAAATAAAACTTTTATTTGAATCTGTACCAAAGCACTGACAGTAAAACCCTTCATGATGCAGGCATCTGATACATCCTTAAAAAAAGAGGAGGATGGGAAGAGAGCTTTTCAAAAGCCACATTATCAAAAGAAATAAAGCAACAATCATGCAGATATTTTAAGTTACAGCTTAAAAATAATAAAAGTAACCC